CACCCTAGACTAACCATCTCCATTAAATACAGTGGGAGTACTTCGCACATGGTTTATATTAGATACAACTCATAATATTAGATACAATTCATAAATTCTCCAGTCCAAAATCTGATCTCAGAATCATAAAGTTGGAAGGAACATTGAAGGTTTCCCAGTCCAACCCTGACATGCTTACATCACACTCTGCTTCTGCATCTTAAATCTGTGTTAAATTCCTCATTCACAAAAACAAGACTCGCAACCAAAGTTGGTAGTCGAAAAGGTGCAGGAAATTTCTACCTTTGAAGACACTCCCGAAATGATTTCCATTATGCTGAGGGCCACCAGTTTCTATTTTTATACCAAAAACATCTTTAGACAAAGCCCAAGCAGAATGTACCTCTGAAGTTTGAATCTTAGTGTATGTGACTAGATAAAAGCGTATAAAGTTATGCATTTTGTGGAGAAAGAAAGAAAAATATCCCCCTCTCACAACACTAGAACTTGTGGGCATCCAATGAAGCTCAATGTTAGAAGATTCGGGACAGATCAAAGAAAGTACTTCTTCACACAGGGCCTAGTGAAATTGTAGCATTCACCCCCACAAGAGCTAGTGATGACTACCAACTTGGATAGCTTTAAAAGAGAATTAAACAAATTCATGGAGGATAAGGCTAGCAATGGCTACTAGCCATGTTGGCTACGTTCTACATTTCAGATCGGAGTCAATATGTCTTTGAATACCACTTGCTGGGAATCCAAGACTCGCAACCTGCTTGGGCAGGTTGCTTTCGTGATTATGCCTTGCACTGAATCCACAAAGTAAAGGTTACTCTAGATGAGATAGTGGACCTCTTGCATTAAAAAAAGAATGCCAGCTGCCTATATTGGATTAGAGCCACAGCAGTAGGGGATGGGTAGCCCTTTCACTCCAAGCTCCTCCTCCCCACTCACGCTGGGCAAGTAACTGCTTCAAGGCAGGGGGCATGATTTAAAAATGAAAGGAAGGCGTTGGAGGGGTGTGCTGTAAGCCCAACCTGGTTACTCTATAGCTGTTTTTAACCTTTTTAAAAAGAAAGAGTGGGAGGTGTCCTCCTGCCATCTCATCTAAGTGCACACTTAGCTTGCTTGAAGTTCTAGTGTACAGAGACCGACAAGGCTATTTGTGTAACCACAAATATAGAGTATCCACTCGCCCATTAAGATGAAAGATTTATTACACTCAACTCAAGCTTATCCCTCCGTACACAGATACACCTCTTTAAGAAAGAAGATGAGACACTTCAAGTGGGGGGAAAGCATCCTAGAAAATGAAGTACAATATGATGCAGGAGAATCTTTTGCTGATATTGAATCTTGGCCAAGACATACAGCAGACTCCAGGCTTACCCTGCTCTCACCCACTGGGTGCAATGAGGGCCAAACTAAACATTGCTTTAATAACCATTTTTGAATACTATGGGTCTAGCCAGGTCTCATTTTTTGCAAAAAACCACCACAAGTGAGCCCAGTCCAGATCAAGACCTTGACATGGTGGTGAACTCTTTTTATTTCACTGTTTCCCTGCTGAAACCTAAGCTGCTATATGCCCTAGGCTTTTTTTAATAAAAAACACACCTATGGGTTGTAAGCAACTGGGGGGCGCCAGTCACAAAATAGCTGCTATTGGGGGACATAGCATAACACATGGAGAGTATTGCATAGCACAAAGTTAGATAGCTACCTCCAGCAACCTTATACTTACCATGAGAAATCAGCTATGTGCTGCTGGTCCTAATTGTGGAGATCATACAATATTGATTTTACACGCACACACACACACACACACTGATGGTGGCCACAGTTCACCCACTCTCATTTCACAGAAGTCACTTAGAAGGTATTTGTGCATTTTACCCCATAGATTTTTTTTCTAGGTACCCATGGGTGCTGGGTTGGTGACCCCTGAGATAAATGCTTCTCAGGGTAGATCCATTGAAGTTGCAGTAACTGGCCTAAGTAAGTCATGCACTCTAATTTCAATGGGCCTACTCTGAGCATGGCTAACATTAAAATGTTCTGAACTGGCAAGACCTCTCTGAGGTAATTTGCTGAATGTTATGATTGCCAACTTTCTTTTCCTGGCAAGACTCCTGTACCTTTATCTATACATAATGAACAAAAACTCCACCTGCAGAATCTCTGCTTGTAGAGCAGCTGTTAAAGCCCTACCAGAAAAAAGTTGGCAACTCTACTGTTAGTATGAACAGTCTCATATGTCACAGATGAGTGATGAAACTGCAGCTCAGTGGCTCTTGGCATTTCTTTGAAGTGTGTAGTGTGAGCCAGGTGGTGATCTACAATCTCGCCACTTCTGTGATATGTCAGAGCATTCACGCTAACATTCGTCAATACACACAGACACTCCTCACTTTCTTCAACTCAGCTGTTCCTCTGAATTTATCCTGCCTTATAATCAGACAGGGACCACTAAGAATCTGATGCCTCTCATCTTCCAAAACATTGTTCTTCTGCTAACCCTCTCTCTTGCCAAAAAACCCCAAAAACCTATCTTGGAGAAGATGCAAGTGGGTGCATTAACCAAGAAACCTGAAAGTGCTCAGATACAGAGTTTGATTAATCCATTACAGAAAACTTACCCCCCCCCCCAATTAATCACAGGGCTACTACACACATGCAACAATGACTACCTTTAAGGACATCACTTTCTGCACAGGAAACATGTATAAACCTCATGGACACCATCATGCGAGTGCACACATATTATTCCCCTTTGGCAACTGCTTCCTGGTGTGAATATACAAGAGAGCCACTTGTGACAAATTTAATAACTAATCATCATCAATACCAGCTTATTCATGGGGATTGAGAAAGGGCTGCTCAAGTTGTTAGCGTTATGACCAGCTGCCCTGAATCAAAGGTAAAAGTAAAAGCTCTCAATGTGCACAGTGCCTTACCCCACAGGGCTTCCACCTCACAACTCACACATTTGTAGGAAGTAGGGTTGCCACCTTTGTTCTGGCAAACTACAGGACAAGGTTGTGATTGGAAGAGTGTTGTTGTTTTAAAATCTGATGCTGAAGTGACTTCAAAGCAATCCATTACAATTCATTGCAACCTAACAGGATGGCTCCTCTGGAATTTATAGGTGGGCACACACATGAATTTGTAAAATCTCTCGGTGCTTGGCTACCCAGAGCTGAAATACATTACCGTTCACACACCCTTTCAAACCCATGCAACTTGGCAGAGATTGAGAGAGAGAGAGAAGACCTGACACCCAGGTCAAAATTGTACCCATACAGGAGGTACCCTTTTGCCCTGAAACACAGGACAATCCTGGTATTATGAAGGGCAGGTGACTATCCTAGGACTAGTGGGCGTGCATGGGTGTGTGTGTGGAGGAGGCCCTTTCCTAAGTTGCCTGTGAGGAGGCCTGGGATCACAAACAAGCGGCCCTGGCTTGCTGGCCAAGAGCCCAACTCACCCGTGGCAGCAGCAGCAGCGAGCAGCAGCATCCCTGGCCGGGCTCTCCATCACCGGTGCTCCACGACGAAGCGCATGGTGGTGCCGTCGAAGGAAGGAGGCGCGATGATCCTGGGCCCCAGAGGCTGCGAAGTGATGCTGATGAGCGGCGCCTTCCCCTCGCCAGGAACCCCTTGCTGCTGCTGCTGCTGTGGCGACTGCTGTGGCTGAGCAGCTTTGCCCGTGGGCATGTAGTAAGGGCTGTCCGCCCCGGGGCTGGCGGGGCCGAGCTCTCCGCCCGGCTGCTGGGCGAGCTGGCCTTGCAGGGCGCTGGCGGGCAAGACGGCCGGCAAGAAGCCCGGGTAGATCATGTAGGCCGCGGCCGGGGCGCCGTAGGCTCCCGCCGCGCCCAGCGCCAGGGAGGACACCGGGAGGGTCATGGGGGCCACGGCCGGAGGTGGCGCCTGGGCCGGCAGGGGCACCTCTACGTACTGCCCGGTCTCGGGGTCGAAGAGGCGCCTCTTCTGAGGCGGAGGCGGCGGCGGCTGCAGCGGCGCGTCCACCACGTAGCACTGCCCGGTGCTGAGGTCCAGCAGCACTTTGCGCTGCGTCTGAGGCGCCGGGAAAGCGGCGGGCTCGGCGGCCGCGGGCGGAGAGAAGCACAGCAGAGGCGCGGGCTGGGCAGCGCCCGAGAAAGCGGCGGCCGCCGCGGCCAAGGACAAGGCCTGAGGGAAGAGCTGCGCGGGGGACACTTCGAACTGAGGCGGCTGCTGCTGCTGTTGCGGAGGCGGCGGAGGATGGGTGGCCTGAGGCTGCGGGGCGGCTGCCTCTCCGCGCTGCTGTTGCTTGGCCGCCTCCTGCCCGTGGGTCTTGCTGGTGCTGTAGGGCTGGTGGCTGCACAGGGCCGCGGCGGCCGCCGCCGCGGAGACTAGGCCCGGGCGGCCGCCTCGGTCTCCTGACGTGGCAGCCCCCGGCTGCTCCGTCGACGACGACGCCTTGAGAGGGATGGCCAGGTAGTTCCCGCAGTCGGGAGCCGCCGCCGCCACCTTGGGCACCCTGTCGGGCTCCACGAGGCTCCCCTGCCTGTCCCCAAAGAGCTTGATGGAGCGAGGCCCGGCCTGGCCTTTCAGGCCTCTTGGTGGCGGGTCAGGAGATGGTTCCTGAGGTGGCTGCTGCTGCTGCTTGGGCTTCTGGGCCTGGGCATTGAAGGTGAAGGTGCTGCGGGGTGCCACCGGGGCCCTGCCTCTCTCCGTGCCCCCTGCGGCCTCCCCGCAGAAGCCCGGCCCGCGTGCCCGCTCCCGAGCCTGTGCCAAGCTTTCGAAGGTCGCCATCTTGGCTGACACCTTCTCTGCGTTCTTGGTTGGGTTGGCAGTCCGGCTGCGGGGTTGGCGCTCGGGCGCAGGCCTGCTGCTGGCGATGCTGCTGGGGGAAGTCGTCAAGGCCGCACTCTGACTGGCATCCTGGTCCTCTGCCTTGGCGCCGGCCGTGGACTCTTCCCTGGCTCCCGTGGCTCCTCCTGTGGCCTTTTCCTCGCTGGCGATGAGGGACAGGACGTGGCTGTCGGTGATGGGCAGCGGGTCGCTCTTGCGCTTCCACTCGTTCTTGTGGAAGCTGTAGAGCTCCTCCATGCTCCGGACGGCCGCTGTAAGTTTCTCCAGCGCTTGGTGGTTCGCTGTGAGGGGTGCCTTGGCCACCTCTTCTCGTGGAATTTCTTCTTCGCTAGCCACCACCAGCGGGCCTACCTTGCTGCTTTTCTCCACTGGTGTAGGTTGAATTTGCGGCGGCGGCGGCTGTGGTTGCTGCCTCCAGGGCACAGATGTTTTGGAGACTATCTTCAGCACAGCAGGCTGGCGAGGGTCGCTTTTGTTAGGGGCGATTGTAGCTACGGGCAGCCTCCCTGAGGTCCTGTGCACCAGGATTGTCCCATCTTGGCTGGATGGCAGCATCTTGCCCCCGCTACTTCCTTTGGCCCCTGTCTCTGAAGCCTTGCTGGCCCTCTTGTCTTCCTTGCTGTTGCTTACTGCCTGACAGGTTATCACCATGGGAGACAGAGGCCTGGAAATGCCTGCTGTCACCAGCTGCTTGGGTTTCTGCTCAGATGTTCCCTGGTCAGAGTTGACACTGCCTCTGTCACTGTTGTTATCCCCCGACTCATGGCTGTAGCTACTCTTAATTAGTTTCCTGACATCTGTAACCTGATGGATAGGCCCTTGCACCTTGTGTTTGTTTTCTCTTACATCGCGTACCAGAAATTGAGGCACTTTGTCCATACCTTCCCCTTTGAATTGTTTTTGATGCTGGCTTCTGGTATCTTCAGCTGCCTTGAAAAAGTTTGGGACACTTCCAGATAACTTGGGTGTGAGGAGCTTAGCAATATTGAAAGGGTGATCTTTATTCTGCTGCATGCTACCCAAGCTGATCTTGATCTCGGGAGGTTTGGGCTTTATCATTGTGGTAGCGATGGCAGTCTGAGCTGCTGTGTTGGTTGCTGTAGAATATTTTGTCACTTGTGTGCTGGATTGCTTTTCTTTGGTTGTTTGTTGAATATTTGGAACAAAGAGACGAGACATTTTAGTTGATTTGCTGGCTGAGAATTCTCCCAAATCAGCCTTCCTGTCACCTTTGGATGAAATTTTCAGTTTTCCCACAGGAGCTTTCTCCTCCTTTTTCTCTGCTTCTTTTTCTTTCCATGTTCTAAATGCACTATTCTGACTGCGGAGAAAAGTTGCCTTGAGAGTTTCAGAAGCACTCTCTTTTATTTTACATGCCTCGTCTAAGAATGTTTCAGAAAGGGATCGATCCAGGCTAACATTTCCATCCCGGGGAGTAGATGGCTTGGAGGTAGGGGACTTGCTGTCAAAAAACTCCCCCAAATCATCTGCTGTTACAATAGTGTATTCAGAGCTGCCTTCTGAATATCTAGAATTCTGTCTCTGCAAACCCCCATCCTTTAACTTTTCTTTGAAAGCACCATCTACCTCTTTAGAAGATAAGGAATTGGACATACCAGAATATGTGGTGTCCGAGATTTCGCCCCTTTCCATTTTGAACTCGTGCTCCAGTTGCATTTTCTTTGAGATAACATTTTTGAGGAGACTAGATGCAAACTTTGATTTATTCTGTGTGCCTTCCATGGTTTCTGCAGCCAGCCCAGTTTGTTTGCAAGTTTCATTGCCCAGCTCCTTTGGCAGTGTTTCTGTAACTTCATCTGTGCAACTTGATCCAGCAGCAGCATTTTCAGAAGGTTTAGCAGGTCTGGGGACACCCGCTTTTATATTGCTGCTAAAATTGAGAGTCTCCAACAAAGTAACAACCCGGGAGCCTGACTGGATCCGTTTTTCAAAGCAAGGTGGTGTCTCAACATGCGTTATTTCCCCATCAAGCTTGCTGACAACAAACTCTAATGCTTTCGTCTGTGACTTATTGGAGTGAATGTAGAACTGGTCACTGGATGTCTTTGTCCCAGTGCTTCTGTTCCATCCTGCAGATGCGGTGCTGCTTTTGAAAAGATTTTGCTCTGCTTTCTGCCCAAGGCTGCCGCACTTTAAATCCAAGTAAGTTGACCACCGGTTGATTCCTAGTGTGTGATCCGAAAGAGATGTGGAGGATTCACTGGAGCTCAGGTTCAAGGTATCAAAGTAGGGATAAGCTAAGCTGCGGAATGCCCTTGCTGTCAGGCTTCTTACTTCTTTATCTGCATCATCCAACTCACTTACCACGCTTGAGGCACCGCTTGAATATCCTCCCAATTCTCTTGCTCTTATGGCTCCACACCTTGTTTGCAAACGTGCAGGAACTGCAATAAATTTTTTTGCATAGTCATGAAACACATCTTGTTTCAAACTTGAATTTCGTTCATGAGCTGTGGAGACACAGAGGCTCATGTCGCCTTCATGCTTGGCAGCATAAATAATGTTTTGCTTTTCGTGCTGGTTGCTAGGCTCATTTATAGCCCTGGAAGTTGGTTTGATTGATAGGAGTATCTGGCCTGCAGAATTCTCACTCATGTTGCTGAGGTTCTTGGACTGACTTTCTTCCGAGCTGGCGCATTTGTCTGTGCTAGGGGTATCATTTTCAGAATTAATGCTGACTATCTCTGTACTGCTGGTATTATCGATACTGTCTGTCTGATTATTGGGATCACTGGTGGTCGTGCTGAGATAACAGCTATTGTCCTCTTCTGTCTGGGTATCCGCAAGAGTCTCGTCACTCCCAAAGGAAGCGTAATCCACAAAGGAATAAATCACATTGTTGTCCTCGAAATCCCACCGAGAGGCTAACCCATAATCAAAGTCCATGTCATGGTCCACTTCGCTAAGCTGGATTTCATGGGTTGTAATATAATGTGCTTCATCGTTATTGTTACAGTTGTTCTCACTGGTGTAGCTTTGCTGCGAGTGCATCAGTTGTGAAGCACGCCTGCACCCTCCTCTCTGGTTACTCAGACAGATTTCTTTGCAGTCTGCATCATCGTCCTCATCACTTTCATATCCAAATGAAGAAGAGGAGGTTTTCCCCTCCGTTCCCATGTCATCCATTTTTGGAAAGCTGCCTGTCTCTTGTACTGGCGAAGGACAAGAGGATGAGGATGATTCTGGGCAGCCATTTGTGTAAAGCTGAATGTTGGAGATACTAGGGGACAAAGTGTTCTCAGACGCTTCTGAGCTGGTGCCAGTGATGCTTCCCCCCACCTCATCAGCCTTCATCCCCACAGGGGAAGGAGTGCCTTCCATTTTAGATTTATAATCCTGGGGTGCTTCATTTGCAGATTTGTCTGCCAGCATATTGTTAGCCAATCTGTTAACCTCACTGATCCCATAAGGTCCATTTTTAGGTTTGATAAAGGCCACTTTACTTCCATTCCCTGCCAAAGTCAGTTTTAGAGCTTGGGGACTCTCTCCCCTCCCTCCAGGGAAATCATAAATCTCCACATATTTTGATTCCTCAGATGAGGATGTTGATGGCTCTTGAGAATGGTGCTTCATCATCCGGCTGTTGCTTTCTCCAGCACTCCCTTTTTGAGTGATGATCTGCTCAGCAGGCGATTTTGTAAGCAGTTCCATTCCGATCACTGCAAATTGACTGAAGGGAACAAAGAGATTTCGACCAAGACTCGAAGCTGGGACACACACACACGTGTCTCCAGTGGTTGGTTCCCAACTTCACTCCCTGCAGTTTAGCGGAAGACCCTGGAGAGACGCCCGATAGTCCCGCAGTGGTAGTAAGGCGGGTGGCTGCTGTTGTCTCTGCGGAGATGGGGGGGGGTAGCTGCTGCTGCCAGTGTCTTATTCCAGAGCTATGAAGTACAGTTGTTGGTTTGGCACGAAGAGCTGTCAGTCTGAATGCCATTGGTAACTGAAGTAGCAGTATTAGCAGCATCTGCAGCTCAGCTTCCCCAGACATCCCAAAATGAAGAGAAAGCATATGGAAATTCTTGTACTTCTAGTTATGAAAGGGGCGGGGGCGGGGGGTCCTGTTCAGTATATAGTCGTTATATAGTTAGAGGAATATTAGCCTTATTTATTACGTAGTATTTGGACGGAGAGAATGCTCTGTGACAAGAAGAAGGGTGGAAAGCATATACTGCTGTTTGAAGTGCTAATTTTAAATATATAAATAAAAATTCCAGACACTGTTTGTATGGACAAGAGGCCCACATTGAACTAAATTTTCATACAGCATTGAAGACAACAAATTACTTGCATTTTTAATAGTAAACTTTTTAAAACTTCCGATTTTTAGTTCATATTAGAGAAGTTAGTTTGTCTAGCACCTGGTTGAAATTTCATGCAAAAATGTGTAAAGTATTTCATGCTCAAAGTATTTCAAAAAGTTTTTCTTTAGTGTAGCCCCATATCAAAATTATTGTTTTCCTCCAAAATACTTGAAGCAGACATCTTCTGGATATCTTAGAACACATCTAGTTAAATAAAAGAATTTAGGTAATTTTAAATTACACAGAATCTATCAGTTAAACCCTCAATCCTATAAACTGAGTACAGGAGGAAAGAGTTTTAGTCAAGGCATGTCAGCCACAATTAATTGCACTTAATTCCCATTAGAGTCAAGGGGACTTAAGCATGTCTAACTTTATGCTGGATTGTGGCCACCTGTTATAATCAGATCTAATCACATTTCAGCACAGAAGACAATTGATAATCTTGGGTAACAAATCATTTACCTTCTCTCTGACTCTTGTAAAGCTGTTCCTTGGATAACAAGCAACTTTTTGTACCTCACAGGAAGAAAATAATTTCCTACTGAATCTTCAGATATGTCTTTAACCGTCTGGAAAGGGAAGTTGAAGAGAAGCACTGGGAAAATGTTAAACTGGTTTGGATTTTCATAGCCACTTTGGTGAGAGTAATGAAACTGTGGAGCATTTTTGTAAGATCAGTGTAGCTTGCTAGGTCAAAACTATTAACTATACATAGACTGTGTGTCATATCATCCGATTGAATAAAGTACTATTTTAAACTATCACATTTGTACATAGCAGAAATAAATGTGTTCAGCCATCAGTCACAGCAAGAATCCCAACCCCCGCTAATAAAATGTTCTTGCCCATCTTTCTACTTTCAAATATTTAAGGTGGAAAGCTGTTACTGAGAGCAAGGAAAATACAAACAAAAGATGTGAAATTGTGGATCAGGTAGAATTAAGTGACATTTGCATACGAACTGTAGTTTGGAAAAATTATTCGTTTGGGTAACCTGTGGTTGGAAAAACCATGTTCCAAATGTATATCTTCTTCTGGACCAGAGGCAATGTTCTTTACCATGTTTTTTTCTTTACAATGTTCTGCTTTAAAACAATGTTGGCTAATATGAAAATTAAGGGAACAGTTCCATAACCATATAATTTATTTCTATTCACTTTCTTTGAAAAAGAGTGTAGTACAGAAATGCTAAATATTCAGAATTCTAAAACTTCAAAAGAATAAACACTTGAGCAGCACTAAAACAGCATATAACTTTTAAAACAGCAGGGGATGGGGCATACATCAAGTGCCTGGCTGGATAAAAAATGTGTTTATAGACTTCCTGAAAGCAGGAAGTAAGGGAGCCTGTTAGATCTATTCAGGGAGAAAGCTCCATGACCATGGCACCACCACCCAGAAGACCCTTTCCATGGTGCCCAAGTACTTCGGATATGTCTGAAAATGGTTGGAAAGGAGAGTCAAACCCACAGTGGCATCATCTCTTTCCACTGGAGACAGGCCAAAGACTGTCCAAAGCCTATCTTTGGGCTAAAGTAAATTAATATTGGCAAAGGTAGACCTTAAGGTAACCTGGGTGTCTTTATTGTTATGCAATAGGGATTTGTTTGTTGTGAGAAGACATTTCATTTCCATCGGTGGGAAAAGGAACAGCAGTAGTGTTATGTACTTGAGTTGAATAGGATCCAAAATGCAGCAGTCTGATTGGTCCTAGAACAATGCAGCAGTCTGATTGGTCCAGCTCCGGGTGTAAGTGAATCCACAACCTGATTGGCCTACAGGAGAATCCCGGAATTAGCCAATCACGTGCAGCCCATTGTGTAAATAATGTATATAAAGCAGATATTTTGGGGGATCTTTCATTTCTCCTCCTCACCACTATGAGCTGAATAAAGAGCATGAAATCCACTCTCGACTCTGAGTATATTTCAAGTAGAAAACTCAAAAAAGGAAGGAGTGATGTGTTCCACAGTGAATGTTTCTTTTTATCTATGACAGCTCAGTTTTGGTCAGTAACATTTCCTCATAACATCAGGTAGCTGGTTAGGGTAGACTTCTATTTAACATTGGCAATGCTGCGTAAAGTGAAACTTGTGAAACAATTTAAGATGGAGTCTTATGTGTCATTAGTAGATAGAAAGATTACTAACATTAAAGATGATTAATATTGAAATAGAATGAAAATAGATCCGTAAGAAAGGAGGGAAAGAGAGTGACACGTCCCACACTCCATCTTTTTTAGGAGAAGAACTTTGATGATATTCAACAATGGGAAAATATCCAGATAAGAGGGTGGTTTTTTTTTTTACTAATTTACCTACTATAGTCTATTAATAACTGATAATTTTGAAGTAATTGTTGTCCAGAAGCATTCTGTGACTACAAAATAAGACAGTTTTAAAATTATAGTTAGATTGAAGACAGCATTTCTAGGAAAATGGAATGCTCAGGTTATATTACAGGCTGGACATTCAATCAGAGTAAGGCACTGAGCCAGTCATACAGTGTTCATAATGTAACAACCTGCCGTACAGGATAGCCAAATTTGGGAATCAATTTGGATCATGAATCACTTCTCAGGACATCTGTGTCTAAGATCAGGTGGGAGGGATTTAAGTCCCTGGGCAGTAGAAAGGAAAAGCATCACAATTTCACACTTTAGCATCTGGTCATGGAGAGCTATTTCAAGTGTCCAGGAAGGTCCAGTGGGAGAAAGATAATTTCCAGGGAGGAAATTGATTATGAAGGGCAAAAACTGGTTTGGAAGGACGTCTTGTTTTAAGAGTTGCCTGCAAAAAAATACCCCCAGTTACAACCTGTCATCTCTGTACCCAGTATGAAAATGCAACACATTTAATGAAGTTTCCACTACATGCCAGGGGTTCAGATTGTAGCTTGCTTTTTGAGGTTTGCAAGTCACCATGGGCTGACTGGATAGCACCAAGAATTCCATTAGCTTGTACAAAACGGCCCTCTAGTGTTGAAATATTATATTGTATTAGTTTCTTGGTGTTTCAGAAGATAAAGACACGCCTTCAAAAAAATATGTAATCTCTTACTTTAGTCTGCAACGTGGTTGCTACTAGGAAAGTTTAATGTAGAGCATTTTTCATAAGAAGTATTAAATACTGATGCCTTGAGTCTTGAGGGCCATCTAAAGACGTCTGATACAATTAATACTGCAGACTTTGGTGTGCAGCAGAATTTATTTGATAGAGTGTGAAGTGATTTACTTTACATAAGCACCTATTCCATCAGTCTGCAGGAGAGAGAGAGGGGTGGGGAAGGGAAGGGAAGCAGGGCCACTCCATCTCTTCAACTGAGAGACCAGCTTCTGGTGCCTCCTCTTCAATTGTTGTTTTTTAATTCTAGTCGGTTGTTATAAAAACAAAGATCAGGTGGCCGAGTTTCCTTTTATTGATTTTTATAGCCACTGTATGCTTTTTTCTGGTTGAGAGGTGGGACAAAACTGCTACGAAAACATCTAAATTTAGAGCCACTTTGGGCCTTCTTTCAGGTCAAACTTTGCTGAAAGCACTATACAGTGGTACCTTGGGTTAAGTACTTAATTCGTTCCAGAGGTCTGTTCTTAACCTGAAAGTGTTCTTAACCTGAAGCACCACTTTAGCTAATGGGGCCTCCTGCTTCTGCCGCACCGCCGGAGCAAGATTTCTGTTCTCATCCTGAAGCAAAGTTCTTAACCTGAGGTAATATTTCTGGGTTAGCGGAGTCTGTAACCTGAAGTGTATGCAACCTGTACCAATGTCTTCCTTCCTTGTTGGAAGCTTCCTACATAGTGGAACTGTTTTCTTTCCATGCAAACTTTTTTTGTCAGGAAAATAATAACCAGTGTATATTTAATAATGAGTGGTATCCACTGAAATATAAAGAATTAGGAAACTGATTATGAGAAGGAGGAGGAGGAAGAGTGCGGAATCTGTTTCAGCTAAAATAATCTGTTGCAGCTAAGATATCGGTAATTACACAGGGGCAAAATCTTGTTATCCTTAGTGTAATCCTTAGCAGTTTGGCTTAAGTAGTACCTGTCATTTAGATGGATAGTTAACAGGACAAACGCATGTAAGAACTGGAATTGGAAATGGGAAGAATTTGGGGGTTTTTTTTGAGATGGGTTGTTTCTTGTGGTGTACTTGAATAACTACTATCATTAACTTAATTTATTTTTATATGCATGTTATAATGTTGAGTTACATTTCTTTAAAAGCAGGAAAAAAATTGTAACTTCATTTTGAAGTGGCACAAACATTTCACTGCCATTCTGCTACATTTGTAGATCTGACCTTATTCCTGAACAACTTATACTAGATTGTCTTTTCTGTTAAAGCATTCTGAACATCTCAAAACCAGGACTTCTGTGCATTAGAGACCTATTTTCATGACCTTAATTTTTTTTTTAAAAAACCAAACACCCAAATCTTTAGTCCCCTGTTTCATTTGAGAGATTAGGATCATAATAAGCTATTTTGCACATGTCAAACACTCCTGGCAACCTTTTCAAATTTGCCTTTCCCTGCAAGTGCAACCCTCTTCCAAGGAATGGAACTGTAAACCTGGACAGGTTTCAAGACCTTAACCTGAGTGAGATTAAAAGGATTTAGAGGCCTTACATTGCCCCTTAGAATGGGAGACTGCATTTCCTCTCCAGGATGAGAACGGATCATATTCTGGCATGCTGTATTACACAGTGCAATGTGCTGCCTTGTAACTGAAGCCCTGTTAGTGTCAGGGGCAGAAGTACTTGCGAAATAACAGATACAAAAAAGTACTCCCTTTCCCCTTAATCAAGTCACACCATCACGCCAGATGCTCTTTGCAAACACGCTGACCAAGGCATGATGAAGTTATTAAATTGTTAACCTTTCGCATCCCCCCCTCCTCCCGGCTCATCATGCTGCATTTATTTTAGAAAGAAGCACCTTTTAAAGAAAGCAGAACTACTGCTCGATTTCTGTTGCATGAATGCCTTTCCACCAAACAGATTAAGAGCTAAACACCTGCCATCCTGACATGCAAATAATCTTCACTACATCCATCTAGAATTTACAGTGCTGTTGGCATGAAAGAGTATTTATGGGAATAGCTGGCTTTACTGAAATCCAAGGAGATAGCATTTCAAGCACAAGCAGTGTGTATCATGAGAAAAATTGAATACAAGAAGTTTTGTGGACACACACACACTCTCTTTTATGTGCTTCCTTTTGTCCTTGGAACAGAGGATAAAAGACCTTCATTGGGCGGGGTGGGGGAATCAGTGAGGTGAAAATCTAGGAGTACTTCAGATATTGGGGCTTAGACAAGAATAAAGGACAAAATGGTTGCCTCTCTCCCATTTCCACATACAGAAGGTGACTGGACTTACTTATTTAAATATGACAAGGGAACGTATTTCTTCACCCAGAGCATAGTCAAACTATGGAATATGCTTCCACAAGAAGTAGTGATGGGTGCTAACTTGGGCCGTTTTTAGAGGATTCAACAAATTCATGGAGGGTAATGGCTGCTAGCTAACATGACATTGTTCTACCTCCACTGTTGGAGGCATTATGGACTTTGAATAGGAGTTGCTTGGAATTGTAGGTAGGGAGAGTGCTCTTGTGCATAGGTCCTGCTTATGGTCTTCCTATAGGCATCTGATTGACCACTGTGAGAATGGGATGCTGGACTTGACGAGCCACTGGCCTCATCCAGCAGGACTCATGTTCTTACTTCAACAATAGCAGAGAGACAGTGTCTTACACTG